GTTTCGCATTCTTTCAATTTGGCGGTCAGCGTCGCTGGCACTGGTTCACGAGTATGGCCGGATGTGAGATATATTCTAATTTATATGGAATATCAGCGTGGGTTTACTTTAGGCTCTCGTAGGCCCAGCATTGGCTGGCATGAGAACCTCTTCGGCAGTGGCGAGTGGGCCCTGCCAAATGAGCGTGGCTCTTCGACACTTAAGTACGACCGCATGGGCAGGTGTTGTGCTGTGGAACTCAGAAGCTCGGTGGTGACCCCGTATGCCGGCTTGGTTCCTCAAGGATTAGCGTGGGGCCTGCGTAAAGCTTGCATGAGCAAGTATATGATCTCAGAGGCCTCTGTAATGTGTACACAGTGGCGGTCGCTGCGGGGGGGGGATCAGGGTCATGATCCCCCAAAGGCAAATATCATTTGGCCCCTTAAACAACCGATGGGCCCCATGGTCGTATGGGGCCCTGATCCTTATTCGATTGTTACAAGGCTCAAGAAACTTACGCCCAGCTATTATAATAGCTCCCACACCGGTCTATGAGCGTCCTACATTGACGTCTGAGGGCCCTTCAGTGGCGGCCAAGCGCCCACATTGACCGCTAAGAGCCCACATCGACCTCTGATGGCCCTCCACTGGTCTTTGGGTGCCCCTAAACAGGCCCCAGGGGCCCAGCTGGCGTCTGAGGGCCTCACATCGGTTTCTGGTGGCCTAATTTCGGTCTCTGGGGTCCCAAGACTAACCTTTAGGTGCCAATGAGGGCCCACACTGGCTGCTGAAGACCCGATGCCGGCCTCTAAGGGCCCATATTGGCCTTTGAGGGCCCTCTGCTGGCCTCTGGGGTTCAAAATCGACGCCGGCCCATGCCGGTCTTTTAGGGCCCCACGCTGACTTCTGAGGGCCCATGCTGGCCTGTAAGGACCCTCATTAGCCTCTGAGGGCCAAACTCGGTCTCTGATGGTCTCAAACTACTGGCCTTTGCAGGTCCTGTACTGGTCTCCGAGGGCCCTAAACTGGCCTCTAAGTGAAAAGGGGTGGGCTTCTCAAGTTCTGAGGACTCACGCAGACTCCTGCAGAGCCTAAGGCTGGCCCCGATGACCCGCGCAGATTCCCTCACATTTCGGCGCCAGGGCCCCATGAGCCGGCGTGGGTTCTGGGGCTGATAGAGACCCATGATGTCCCCAGGGCCTAGGGACAGTCTTTTTAACAGTAGGACCGGTTGGGTTGAGTGAACCCCAGTAGAGCCGTTGCGAACCCCCGCAGGAGTCTGCGCGTGGCCCTCAGATGCCAATTTTGAAAGCCAGGAACCTGTGGCCCCTTTAGGGGTCTCTCCAGAGGTTGGTGCCGTGTACCTTCTCTCTCCCGCCGTCATACAACTAAATGGGTAAATGTCATTGTCTGAAAATGTTTTATGGGTTTCATATGCTTGTTCAAAGCAAAAGGTATTTGTACCTCTCCGAATTGTTTTATAGTGGAAATGTCATGAATCCGCCTGCCCGACCTTCCAGTACCTATATGCTGCACCGATCCGTCGCCATGGTGCAGCGGCCCGACCGGTGAGCACACCGTGGGACCGTAAATGGAGCTGGTGATTTTGCCTTAAACCGAGTTAAAAAAACGCAAAATGAGATGGATATAGCCATGTAGCATAACTGATGCCAGCTGCGTGGCGATTCGTGGCGTAAATTTTGCTACACACGTAAAAACTTTGCCGATCACCCCCCTCCCTCCCGGGTGACTGATAAATGCTATGTCCCGCGAGTGTGACCTCGCCCCCCCCTTTTGCTAGCGGCTGCGACCGCCAGTGAATCACATTCAAAATTCAGATGAGACACATTTTAAATAATCAACGCAAAATCGACTCATTCAAAATAGAGTTTTTGACAGCACATGCACCTTGCAAGATACACTTCCACTAAATAAAACACAGTCAAATGCCTGCATTATCAGTCATGATATACAGTGCCTACCACCAGTATAACGCCTTTTGGGGCGACTAACGGAGCGAGCGAGAGGGTGGGCCTTGCACGTGCGAAATTTCGAGAGGGTACCTCCAACTGACATGTGCACGGCACCTTACTAACCGGTCTCTAGCGATGTGCCATATTTGAGCACAATCGGCCCAGCCGTTCTCGAGATCTGGAAGCGGCACTCTGCACGTGCGCACGTGCAAAATGGGTCCCAACTGACTTGTGCACGGCACCCTACTAACTGGTCCCTAACCGTGTACCAAATTTGAGCGCAATCGGTCCAACCGTTCTCGAGATCTGGAAACGACCCCTACACGTGCGCACGTGCAGCAGCACCCCAACTATGGCACATGGAATTGGATATACAGTGCCTAGTGGCAGGGACCCGGGAACGACTTTCAAGTTGGGGGGGCGAGCCTAAAATGCCTGACATGATGCATATGAAGCAGTGGCGTAGTTAGGGGTCTAAGGGGACACGTACCCCCCCCCCCCCCACCCCACCCCCCCACCCATCGGGTTGAAAGGGACCCTCGGGTCCGAGGGGACCTGCGGTGCCATTTGACCGCCGAGGGTTAACGATGTCCATATTTCGACTCAGAATGGCCTCATAGGTCTCGTTAGAGCACCTTATGGGCCCTAAATAACCAAACTATAAATCTCAACAAGGGCCCCACGCCGGCTTCTGAGGGAATCTTGCAGATTTTAAGGGCCCCTCGGTGGTCTCCAAAGGCCCGTTACTGGCCTCTGAGAGTTCTTACCGGCCTATGAGGGGCCAGTTCTAGGGGCATTTCCCGCCTGTGATGGTCACACACTTATTTTTCCGAGGGTCCCATAACGGCAACTGTGGGGGCCCTCATCGGCGCCTATGAGTGCCCACACCGGTGTCTCTGAGCGTTTCACACCCCCAACTCTGAGTGCCTATACCAGTGCTTTTTAAAGCCCTATATCGGCGGCTCTAAGGACCCAACAGTCAACACCTGCGCATCTAAAGGCCACCCACTGGAAACTTTTGAGGGCCCCACACCGGTGACTCTGAGCCCTGAGGGCCCCACCGGCGTCTGACAGTACCATGCCGGTCTCTAAGGACCCCACACGACTTCTTCTGCCGGCCTAGGGGCCCCGTGCCGGTCACTGAGAACCCCCTGTTGGTTTGTAGAGGGTTCGCGTCAGGAGCTCTAAAGACCCCACACCCGTCTGTAACGGCTCCACACCAGCGTCTATGAGATCCCAGAGCAACGCCTGTAAGGACCCTCACCGGCGCCTCTGAGAGAATCACACTAGCACCTCTGTGCGCCCGAACCAGCACCTGCATGGCGGCCCATACCAATGCCTCTAAAGGCCCCTTACCGGCGGTTCTGAGGGCCCTATACGCCGGTGATTCTGAGGGTGCTACCGATAACCGAATGCATCAGACAAGCCCTTAGTGTCGCTGAGCTTTAATCCCATAGATACCGGCCTTCCGAGGGCGCCACGTCAGTGCACTCATTGCCCCACACCCCTCCCTCACACCCGGAGCGGGTAAACTGTGGTATAACTTATACCTATATTATAGCAATGATTTTACCACCGTTGTACGTTATATATTTCTCAAAGTTTTCTCAAAATGGTCTAGTATAAAATCTGGCCTGCCAAACTCATGGCCAAGGCCAGGCCCAAACCAAAGCGGGATGACAATAGCAGATGTTGTGAAATCGATACTGTATCAGCAGAAACCATTCAGATGGCTAGGAAAATGCCGTGTGATGATGTTTAGATGGGAGACAAGAAGGAAAGAAGTCCGGAAAAGGGAAGAAAGATCCTTTCACGCTGCCTCAATGTTGAGGGGGCGCCGCCCCCTCGGCTCTCAAGTTGGGGGGGCAAGCGCCCCCGCTGCCCCCCCTGTTCCCGGGTCTATGCCTAGTGGGTGCCTAACTACAGGCTAATTTTCAGCGCAATCGGCCAGGTAGTTACCGAGATATTGCAACAATTACAAAACTGACACCTCCTCGTTTTGCACGTGGCACGTGCATAACTTGGTAGAAGGAATGAAGCTGCCGTATAAAAACTACTGCATGTAAATCGGTCAAGTGGTTGCGGAGATAAAAGCTTCGCAAAAACGTGACTACGGCCGGCCGCTCATACTCAGAAATTTCCGTTAACCTACGAAAGGCTACGCTCGCCTCGCTCGCACCGTAACGAAAGACTCCGCTCGCTCCGTAATTATATTCGGCAATGCATTGAACTTTATTATGAGGCTATACGGTTTCTCATCATTATCTTATCAATCCATTCTTACATAAAGCACACATATAAAATCCAGGAATGCAAAATCTAAATCACAAAGTGCCCGATTTCGTTTTCGTCACAGATAGGCCACTCTATCGTCGCTCCTCGAGAGCCGCGATATCCAAGCGATACCACGGGCGGTTCAAGGTGAGGGGCTTCGGGGGCTAAGCGCGCCACCCAACACGCCGCCCCCCAACCATATTGGCCCCTGGCCGAAAAAAAAAACTCATGGATCCGCCCCCCTCCCCCCCCCCCCTGAGCGATACCCCAGTCCTTGTGTGCTGCGAGAAGCCTTCCGTTACACAGTGAGTAAATTCCAAGTCACGAGTCAAGTAAAGTCTTACAAACTATATAATGTCGCATGTAATGAGTGGAAAGCTACCTGAAGGTAAGTGAAAATGATTTATATCGTTACATGAGAGTATCAACCGATTTTAAAAGAATGTAGTGATTTGTATCGTTATTGCCTTCCCGCGCCGTTATTTAGGAAGAGGGTACGTACTTTCAGACGGACGATTCCAGATCTTAGCATTTTAGCAATGAGAAACGGTCTGGCTATCACACTTCCAGAAGAATTCGAGGTCCAAAAAGTTCTCTAGATAAAGACATTTCAGATATTTGAGCTGCATACGGATATTCTTTTCCTTAACCAATAATTTTGCCATTAGCATATTGTCCGAATGCAATTTAGTGGCCACCGTATCAGCTAGTTGGCGGACATCGGCTAAAAACAAACTAAGAATACATTTTCAATCACGCCCCTGTGTGTTACAGACGCCACGATGAGTTTCGCACGACATGAAAGACAGCGGAGTGGACAGCAGCAGACGGCCAGACAACTTCCTGATGTGTGCAACGACTACAACCGTAAGGGAGGATGCACCCGCTCCTGGTCCAGTTGCCATGAACTGCACTTGTGCACGTACTTCCTTCAAAACAGATGCACAGACGAGCGATGCAACAAGGCCCACGCCCTGGAGACGCCCAGAAACATCCTGCTGCTCGAGGGTCTCGGATGGCAGGGTTCCGACGACCTGGCTCTGGCGCTGGACATCCTCCGCCGGCGGGCTCGAGGTCAGGCGACAAGCATCTGCGTCATGTACAACGAAGGCATCTGCAACGACCCCAGCTGTGGACGGCTTCACATCTGCTACCGTCGTGTAGTGGATACCTGTCCGCTGGACGACTGCGGCCTCAGTCACGACCTGCAGGATGGCGGGCACAACGCAGACCTTCTAGCCAGTGTGGGTCTAACCGATACCCCTGTGACAGAGCTCCTCAGGCGACTGCAGGAACAGGTGCGCCGCCGGGCGCCCCAGCCGGCGCTCTGCAGAGCCTACGTCATACAGGGCTGCCAGGGATACTGCCTGCGACTACACTACTGCGAGGCTTTCCTGTATAGTCGCTGCAGGTTCGGAGACAGGTGCTCCAATAGTCACAGCCTGAAGGAATCGCACAACCGGCGGGTGCTGACATTCTTTGACTGGACGGAGGAACAAGTGCTGGAAGAGCTGAGGAAGGAAGGAGTGGGCAGGTCAGCTTCTCGGACAGCCAGAACTCGAACTCCGACAGAACGGGACGACGAGGAGGAAAGGTCCGACCGACAGGACCTCTGTGAAGGATCGCAGCGGGGCCCCAGTGCCGAGACCCCCGTCAAAAGGATAGATAGCGCTAAGGAGGTCGCAAATCATGTGAGCGATTCAATTGACTTGTCGAACCGGCATCCAAAGAGACATTGCAAAGTGCGTCAGCATATAGCAAGAGCGCGCCAGCAGGCAAAGGAAGACGTCTCGAGCCAGCAGAAGGAGGCGGAGAGACAGCAGTGGAAGACGGAGAGACAGCAGTGGGAGGCAGAGAGACAGCAGTGGGAGGCGGAGAGACAGCAGTGGGAGGCGGAGAGACAGCAGTGGGAGGCGGAGAGACAGCAGTGGGAGCGAAAAGAGACGGAATGGAAGGAAAAGGAAAGGGATTGGAGGGAAAAGGAGCGGGATTGGAAGGAAAAGGAGAGGGAATTGGAGAAAAAGGAGAGGAAATGGAAAAGCAAGGGAAAAGAATGGAAAAAGAAGAAGGCAGATTGGCGCCAAAAGGAAAACAAGTGGCTAAAAAAGGAAATAAAGAACATACGTGAGCGACAGCAGTGGCAGCAAAAGGAAACTCAAAGGGAAGCAAAGGAAAGGAAATGGGAGGAAAAAGAAACGGAATGGAAAAACAAGGAAGCGGAATGGCAGAGCAAGGAGACAGAATGGCAGCAGAGAGAAACAGAACGGCAAGAAAAGGAAAGAAAGAGAGAAAGGGAGACCCAACAAAGGGAACAAAAAACACGCGAGACAGAGGAACGAGTGCGGAAAGAATCCGAAAATAAACTAAGAGAAGAAAATGAACGTGAGAGGCAAATATATAAACGGGAAAAAGAAGAACATTTGAAGGCAATGGCAGAAAAAGATTCGCGAGAAAAAGAGTTAATGCAGAATTATGCAAAGCTGATCATAGATCAAGAAGGCAACGAGAAGGCCATGGCCACTATTCAGCAAATGAACGCTGGTTACCAACGGCAGATCGCCAGTATGCAGACTCTGGTAAAAGAGCTGAAGGATAAAGACCAACAGCGAGAGACCAAAGTAAAAGCAGAGGAGGAGAACAAGAAAAAGAAAATTGCAGAGCTGACAGAAAAGGTACAAAGCAGCGAGAAGATCATGTCCATCACTCAGCAAAGAAACGCTGATTATCAACGGCAGATCGCCAGTATGCAGACTCTGGTAAAAGAGCTGAAGGATAAAGACCAACAGCGAGAGACCAAAGTAAAAGCAGAGGAGGAGAACAAGAAAAAGAACATCGCAGAGCTGACAGAAAAGGTACAAAGCAGCGAGAAGATCATGTCCATCACTCAGCAAAGGAACGCTGATTATCAACGGCAGATCGCCAGTATGCAGACTCTGGTGAAAGAGCTGAAGAATAAAGACCAACAGCGAGAGACCGAAGTAAAAGCAGAGGAGGAGAACAAGAAAAAGAAAATTGCAGAGCTGACAGAAAAGGTACAAAGCAGCGAGGAAATCATGGCCATCACTCAGCAAAGGAACGGTGATTATCAACGGCAGATCGCCAGTATGCAGACTCTGGTAAAAGAGCTGAAGGATACAGACCAACAGCGAGAGACCGAAGTAAAAGCAGAGGAGGAGAACAAGAAAAAGAAAATTGCAGAGCTGACAGAAAAGGTACAAAGCAGCGAGAAAATCATGGCCATCACTCAGCAAAGGAACGCTGACTATCAACGGCAGATCGCCAGTATGCAGACTATGGTAAAAGAGCTGAAGGATAAAGACCAACAGCGAGAGACCGAAGTAAAAGCAGAGGAGGAGAACAAGAAAAAGAAAATTGCAGAGCTGACAGAAAAGGTACAAAGCAGCGAGAAAATCATGGCCATCACTCAGCAAAGGAAAGGTGATTATCAACGGCAGATCGCCAGTATGCAGACTCTGGTAAAAGAGCTGAAGGATAAAGACCAACAGCGAGAGACCAAAGTAAAAGCAGAGGAGGAGAACAAGAAAAAGAACATTGCAGAGCTGACAGAAAAGGTACAAAACAGCGAGAAGATCATGTCCATCACTCAGCAAAGGAACGCTGATTATCAACGGCAGATCGCCAGTATGCAGACTCTGGTAAAAGAGCTGAAGGATAAAGACCAACAGCGAGAGACCGAAGTAAAAGCAGAGGAGGAGAACAAGAAAAAGAAAATTGCAGAGCTGACAGAAAAGGTACAAAGCAGCGAGAAAATCATGGCCATCACTCAGCAAAGGAACGCTGATTATCAACGGCAGATCGAAGGGCTGACAAAACTCCGAGAGCTGGTTAGAAAGCAGCAAGACTACGTGGAATGCAGCGTCTGCCTCGACACCTTCGTTGAGCCAGTAACCCTGGAGTGTGCCCACACATTTTGTAAAGTCTGCATTGAAAACACACCGAGACCTGGCGAAGCAAAGCTCTATAACATATCCCCTCCCCAACGACCTCAATGTCGCATGTGTCCGCTATGTCGCCAATTGTCAAAAGTTCAGGTCCTCAGTCTGGTTCTCAAAAACATATCCGGCACCTTCTCTGGCGATCTACTGCAAGGAACCGCCAGTAGACCAGCGGCGCCGGCACCAGAAGAACGGCAATGATACGACGAGTGTGCGAATTCTTGCGGCAGGGCATTTAGTGTTATCGCGAAGAGCGGCGGAGTCTGATAGATGGTGTTATGGCGCTACTATGTATTTCAGACCCCGCGAGACCCTGTTTTTCGGCGATAATTTCTTCAGTTTTTGTCTAATTGGCTTGAAATTTTGACATTGGACATTTCAGCTCAAGCGCCAATTTTCATCAATATGGTCTCTTAACAAAATGCCAATATTTAGAGCACTTGTCATTGGCTCGTAATGCTAATTAGATTTTGCACCCGGATAGAGGCTCGTTCGCTACCGCAGCGGATTGGATGGGAGCGCTGGCCAATCACGTTGCGCCAGGCCCAACTAAGCTCCGCCCACTGGCCGTGACCGCGCTGGGTCTATGCAGGCTCAGTCGGCGGCAGCACCGCGGAGAGGTCGCACGGGGGCCGTGCGTTGGAAACATACATGGAATCGACAGGAAGTGCCTGAGCGAAAGCTTGCTCTTCATTTGGGGGAGTTGGTAACCGCTTCTCTCTTTTTGGTATATGAATACCGATCCAGCTCAGAATATGAAGAATAATCAAAATAAGGATATTAACCTCACCAGAACCAACATTAAATAGGGAGCTGACTGCTGAGTCATGCACTATCTGAATATCTGAATGAATGCACATTCTGGCGCTTACCTCATGGTCAGGTCGTGCCACTATTCTGTGACCTATGACATCATGCGAAGCCTCTGCACTACTCGAAAATATCGATGTGGCTGGCTGCGTCAATTGCTGTTTCTGAAGACGCTGTTATACCTAACTATGCAGAAAAAACAGAGTAGGATTATTAGTCGCGAGCACTTCCGATTGCGTCAGACATCGCTCCACGAGCTGTGTTCGTTATTCAGGAAGCGTTGAGAAGGGAGCAGAAATGTGATGTTGCGATTTATTGCGCATGGTAGAAATGTGACATCAGAATGAGGGAAACAAGCGCATAGGCTAGTAAAGAAATCGCGTCTTTTTGTGAAACTAAAGTAACATTTCAAGCTCTCTAATAGTGAGGCAGTAGGGTACTTGCTTACAGGTATCTTAATTATTTGCAGTTCAACACGAAAGCCTGGGGTCAAGTCAGTCCGCTGACCTCAATCTAGCCAATTATAAAATGGGCTAGTTCTGAAGGTGTTCAATCACACGAATCCAACTCAAGCATGCGCATAAGCATAACATATTTCATATTTTAACCACACTTCTTAAATGCTACGGTTTAAATGTTTACCATGTCTTGCAAATTTGACGTAGGCTGACCGACGTCTTGCATCAGTTCACAGTCAATTGACATCAACGGCCTTTTTTAATGACGTTCAATCAAGCAAAAATGCAGTCACTAGCCCTGAACTTAGTATTAAAGTAGATATATCTTTATTGATTGACAAGGTGCAGGTTAATTTGCGATAAATGCAATACCGAAGGCTAGTGCGCTAATAACGAGCGCTAGTTTCTGCTGTATCGTTATTACTGCAACGGCAACCGCAAGGCAGCCACGTCCAATGCGAGCCGCCCCGGTCCGGCATACGGCCTTGGGTGCGGCGGCTACTGCCCCGTCGGCTCCACGCATCCGACTGACCGGCCAAGGTCACCGCTCCGTCCGCCGGGAGGGCGGAGCTTAATGGTCACGTGCCTGTGACGTCACGCCTACGTACGGATAGCCTCTACTCCACTGACGGATTTACGGAGCTGATTTTAACATTACGAGGCAACGATAAGTACCCTAACAATTGATATTTTGTTAAGAGACCATATTAGCGAAAATTGACGCTTGAGCTGAAATGTGCTGTGCGAAAATTTGAAGCCAATTGGATAAATATTAAATAAATTATCGCCGAAAAACAGGGTCTCATGGGGTCTGAAATGCATAGTAGTTATGTAGAAGACGAACCGCCAGTGCCCCCACAACGACTGTGCGGCGGGCAGGTGCATCGTGTGTCGGGAGGCGTCCGACACGCCCCGGCACTTCTTCTTCCGGTGCCCGGCCCTCATGAGCCGGCGCCTCCGAGGGTTCAGGTCAATCTGTCCGAGCCCGGAGGCATAGTCCGTTATGGAAAGGTGGCGGCCCTGGCGACCGCCATGAGAGACCTCCAGAGCCGTACGGCTACGCCGCGAGGAGCGACTGGAGGGACAGCACGACAACAACTGTGGGGATGAAAGGGAGTCCCGCTCCGGTATTGTGATGCTACAGGGATGTTCACGAAAAACTGACACATTTTTAAACGACTTTGTGAACAAGTGAGAGCTCATAGACACTTGATTTGTATACCTACCATTCGAAAGCCTGTTGAGAAAAGTTTTGTATGTGCATAACTCCTTTAGGTAGCATACCAGGAGTTTTCAAACAAATAAGAAAACATTAAAATAGGGAAATTTGACTTGGCGACGAAATTTAGCGGAAAAACAATGAAGCTTTCGCGGCGACGATCTGGCACCAAGACTGAACCAGTCCACGAATTCGTCTAAAATTTGGCATATTAATTTTTCGAGGGATTATTTTTTATACTATTGGCATATTGTTGGCAAATTCCTAAGGAACGCCAAGATTGGTGGGTATGGAAGTGCTGTTGTCATAAATCATAGCCACAGGCTGACAGTGGCTGTAGAGTGTTACCGCACCATCTTTTAACGGCTCCCGTTAGCTGCTACAGCGGAAATGCGCCGACACCTACACCATTCGGTCGTTCTGGCACGTCGGGGCCACCCCACGTGCAGTAACGGTGATCATCGGTCTCATACGAGAACAGGGGGGAGGGGGTATTATCTCGCGCATCGCCTCTCACCCATAGCCGGCCATTTCTCTCTACCTCAACACCGACGTCTTTTCCTGTAAGTTCACGTGAGAGACATGGTCTGTATAGCAGCGGCCCAAAGGACTTCAAAACTCCTGACGAGTGCGGTGGGAGGTGTTGCAATTCTCCAGGCACGTGCCCGTAAACGGGGGATAATTTCCTGTTTCGGGCTGAGTCGTGCACTGTTCCAAAAACTCGTCATCTGCAAAATACGCTTTAGAAACGAAAATGATAAGTCCCCAAAATACCTCAATAAAAACTTAAAAGTCCACTCTATTTGCACATACCATGATCAACGTGCTGAGGGCAAGTGTTCTCTCGTTATTCGGAAATAAGATATGTCAGTTTTTTGTGAACATCCCTGTATATATTTATTACACGGGGTTAAGTGCCTATAGCAGCGACGCGCTGTGATTTTGTTATGTAATACGATGCATAGTGCTCACCAATGTCCTCGGGCTCAAAGTTATTTGGCACAGCCGAGCTACTGTTATTTCGTTATCTGTGATGTTCATGTATTGTGTACAGTGTACATTATTTCTCGCTCGCCACGGGCAAGGGCTTGATGGGCCCAGCCAATCTGCTGTGATTTCAGTATCTGTGATACTCATGTATCATATCCCCAAATATGAATGTTTCTGGAAGTCATTTTTTACGCCAGGAAGTTTGTTTTGTTTTTTTGTTTTGTTGGGTTAGGCCCTTTCGGTCGACAAGACCATTGCAGAGCCGGAAGGATGATAGGAATTAGGGGGAGACATTGGTCTGGGCAGGCACCCTAGTGAGTCGCCGGGGCTGAGCCCGTCCAGAGGACAGGCCACCCAGCCCCAAGGCACTCACTGCACCCGGCTACGGGGTGCGCTCCCACAGGAGCAGCGGTGCCGCTCCAAGGGAGCAGCCCGCATGAGATAATGTTGCCTGTCCAGCCCGGAGGGGGGTTGCGGCGTGGAGGAGGAGGATTTCAGTTTCCTGAGGATAGAAGCATGGAACGGTGACGCCAGGAAGGCCATGATGCGTTGACGAGTGAGCGCGTTTCACGCGTAACGCTATGAGAAACGTTTTTCGTAAATATCTAGAGCATCGTTGCTTCGATTGCCTTTGTTTTTGGCTATGTTATGAAGGACGTTAACCTCGTCATCACAGAGTGGTTACCGTTGTTCTGCAATCCACATATAATGAGCAATTTAGACAAACATATTGCAAAATCAAAATTTCAAACGAATAGAACTCAATAACGGATTGCCGTACGACTGTGATGTTTGCAGTTTTGGACTGACGAAGTCAAGGAAAATATTTCCTAGCAAGCCTTTTTTTCAAATTTTGTACTATGTTTTGCATGATACAATTTTCATCTTGCAGTGCATTGCATGAAAGCCATGACAACAATTTCAAAAATGTGGCTGCTAGGAATCATAAAGACATCGATTCTCTACACAATCCTGTAGAGTGAATCATCATTGCATGCATCACTATGCAGTTCTATTCATTTGAAAGTCATTGCACAGCTAGTTCATAAAATCGCCGAGAGATGTCTCTGGCTGTATGGCCCGCGCGTTTCGACGGTCCCCTCGGCCCGTCACTCAGCGGCGTTTGTTGACACAGTGTCACTCCCATTAGTTACGGCGCTCCGCTGCATGCTGGCGTTCGGCCGCCGTCGAGGTGCTCTGAACCCTCCCTGCTAAGTTTCGCCGTGACCAGACGGGTCGGAGACTCATCCCACGATCTATTCATGAGCGGCGCCCAGCCAGGTGTCTCCACCATTCCGTGCTTCTATCCTCAGGATACAGATCTCCTTCTCCTCCACGCCGCAACCCCCCTCCGGGCTGGACAGGCAACTTTATCTCATGCGGGCTGCTCCCTTGGAGCGGCACCGCTGCTCCTGAGGGAGCGCACCCCGTAGCCGGGTGCAGTGAGTGCCTTGGGGCTGGGTGGCCTGTCCTCTGGACGGGCTCAGCCCCGGCGACTCACTAGGGTGCCTGCCCAGACCAATGTCTCCCCCTAATTCCTATCATCCTTCCGGCTCTGCAATGGTCTTGTCGACCGAAAGGGCCTAACCCAACAAAACAAACAAACAGGTGTCTCCTATCGCGCGCCTCTCACTCTTGATCGGGAGTACGCCGGGAAGAGCTCGTGAGAAACTAATAGCTTTGAAAGATGTCACAAGTTTGTGTGAGTGGTATTACGAACAGCGAACAGGTATATTTTGACAATAGGTATTTGACCTGACCTGGGCAGTCCGTACTGAACATAAATGATGAAAATAGCTAGCAATGCCTACAAATTCCATGGAGGCATAGACCCTGAGTGACGTGAGACCAAATATCAGTTCGACTGTTATGTCAAAAGTCAAAACCCTCGCCCTGGCAGGGTATTTTTCATACCCCTCCCCCGGCGTTTCGAAACTTAAGCGTCGTAGCTCGCTTCGCAACAAAGAGTCGATGCAGTCGATTGCTCTCAACGAGTACCTACTCGCGATTGGTGGTATATTTTTTACCCTAATTCAATATTTGGCCCAGTCCCCAGTTATGGCAGGTCAAAGATCAAATTTCGGGGAAAGCTGCAATTATCCATTTTTTTAGCCAATATTGCCGAATCTATGAAAGATAGCGACATGAAACCTTCATTACCGTGTTTCTCAACGAATTAGCAACAACATGATGTATACATAATTGATTGAATTGCAGTCAAAATAGCGTCTCTAGAGATAGTTTTTCACGTATCACTTTTGAAGCAATAAAGCTAGGCAAAAACTGCATAATGGCAATTAGCAGCATCGTAGTCCTCTCGTAATTTCGCCTCGTAGCATATATGTGTTGACTTCGAAAGGTCAAGGTCAAATATTGACCTCGGATCACATAAAAGACGCACACTGGTGGGGCTATTTTTGCCCCCCCCCCCCCCGCCCCGTAGCTCCGAAACTATTGGACGGATTCGCAAAACTCAAACGGCGTTCGATAGCCCTGTTGCCTTGAGAAAATTATTTTCATTGACCTCAGGGTCACTGATGACGTCACAGGTCAGGTCAAAGTTAAAAATTTTCACCGTTCACGGGCCTTATAGACAATGCGTTATAACATTGAGTAAAAGGCATTTTATCGAAAATCATCGATAAAGCGTTGGTTGCCTAGTACAGATGTTGCTAAAAGACGTCACTGATACCAGGTCAGGTAACCTAGAGGTCAGGTCACCAAGGGTCAACACATGAACCCAACTTTACTAGGGCTGTGTGATGCATGTTTTGTGGCCAATTTTTCATTTCCAACTCAATGGTTTTGGTTAGACGGCCATGAGGGACGGTTTAGGTTACTTTCTGGTGGAGGTTAGGTCAAGATCTGGTAAAAAGGTCAAATTACGAAGTTGATACTTTTGCATAAAAGGGTACCTATTTCGATGTACATCATCACGGGGAATCCAATCGGTCGCAAAACGTCCTCAATTTTGCGACCGATACCCCCGAACCCGATTACGTCAATCTGTCAATCTGAGTGGAGACCGTATTCTCCCACTAGGGCCCCCTCAGACCAGTGTAATGCCTGTGTATCAACTTGGAGACTGATGGCTTCTCAGGTGGATTCTCCGTAATCGCCACAACCTTAACCCTCGCCGGCACAGGCCATTTTGAGTCCTTCGATGGCACAAGGGGGGGGGGGGTGGTACGACCCCCCTCGCGTTTGGCCCCTGATGGAGCTAGAGCTTCGCGGAAAAACGAGCGTGTTGACCGTCACGAGAGGAAGCCAATGATACCCAATTTTAAGGTCCTAGGTCATCGGTTGACCTTCCAGGTCAGGTCAGTGACCCAAAAATCGGGAATATCGGGACCTGTTAGAAAGTCGTAAAGCGTGGCTGCTAAGGGGTTTTCCGGGGTGCTGATCACGAATATCGTGTTAGTTTTGATCACAGATGATTTCGTTAAGCGTTTAGACCAGGTCAGGTCAGGTCAGGTTGACGGGTATTCGTAGTACCTGTCATCCGCCTCTGACAGCTTCGTAACATGTTACGAAGACACCAAAACTACTTAGTCAATGTTCAAATGGTTACTAAATTCGAATTCAGCTCCAAAAACTAGCCTAGAAACATGTAAAACTCGAAAAAGTGAACCGAGGTCACCAAAGGTCCATGAACTGACCTGACCTTCAGGTGACCTTGACACCCACCCTAATGCATGGGAGCAACATCAAATCACATGTTTGAACGTTTGAAACCACGAAAAGCTTGCAAACGCGCGGCTAATGCGAGCCGACATACGCCGAATCGCGATTTCGGCCAAACATGGTCACAGAAAAGAGGTCACAGGTCAAAGGTCATTGGGGTAGGTGTAAAACTGATCAATGCGAGGGTACTGAAAGTTTCGTCGCGATCGGCCGCTTTTTACGCAAGTTATTCGCGAAAAAACTTTAGGGGGGGGGTTGCATCAACCCCCCTGTGCCGGCGAGGGTTAAGGTTGTCAGAGGCTATAAACGAAACAAAAATGAAGATTACCCCGTGTAGTAGTGCTTTGAGGCCCGTTGGGACCCTAAGTGGCTGGCATTTGCCCTCCAGGACTCCATGCCGACTTCTTTAGATAATCCAGCTGTCAGAGTTCCCGTTCCCACAGACAGACCACCAATCTGGCATCTGCGCCTATCGTACGACCACCCAGAACGGGAGCCTGCTTCATTACGATTAGGAGCTACTCTTGCCGCACACCGGTGACCGTCCAGCCAGAAGTTGGACGCTGCATAGCGAGGTCGACGATAGGCAAAATCAAGATTAAGGCATATTGACGGACAGGAGAGCGCCGCACGGTGAGGGGAGGGCGGAGGGGGAAGGGGAGGCAGGGGCGGGAGGGTGGAGCGAGGGGAACGCGCCGCCGCCCGGGCGGCAGTCGACAGAGCACAGCGTGCGCGTGAGCACGCAGCGTATTTTTTTTTAACCTCTTCCAGGGCCTCTAGTATTTTTTTCTTTTTCTCTTCACTCGTTAAAGGGGTGGGGCCGTTGTGAACCCACAGGCGGCGGTTCTCTCGAGAGAACTCGTCAGTGGGGGATCGACTTTACATCAGCCAAATATGCGAATGTGATGCCCGTGCAGAGCTGAGCGGCCCGAGGACGTCAAGTAACAGTCCAGGTTCGAAGCGCGACATCGCTCGATCTTTATGAGCCTCCTGGCGAGTATGGTTACGGTTGGTGGCAGGCCGTAGCCATTCGAAGTCAGTGAAGGGACCGGCCGTGCGCGGCTAGGTGCATACGTTAAACTTTGGGCTCTAAATTCTGCCATAGATCACGAATTGCGCGATCGGAGGGTAGAGGGCAGGGCCAACGCAAAGCTCTGCTTAGCGGGAGCTCTGACTTGCTCTGTACTTGTGAATCTTTCCATTCAAAAGGGTCGGACTAAATTTATGAAAAAAGAATATCCGGGACACGGAGTTGGGCGCCTGAAAAGACGAAATGTAACGTATTGCTGAGGGAAAAAATGGTTCAGGTAAACAAAATAAACACAACAGCTCTAGGTAATGGGGTATTTCAATGTGCTCACATTGCATCGTTTCGTTTACGCATTTGTTTTTATGTGCACTGACGCCTCGAAATAAAAATTCGTATGCCTTTAGACTATTGCCAGCCCCCCAGTAGTGACTTTTTGCCCTGACTGGGGGGGGGGGAGGGGC